AAGTCCTGCCAGGGAACCTGGATGAGCATGCCTGCCAAGTGATGCAGACTCACCCCATCTCTGAGCCTTCTCCTCCAGCAGCAAGTGCCCAGGGCAGCTGGCGGGGGGGCTGAATGGAGGGAGGTCAGTGCCCCCTATGGCTCTCACCCCCACCCCTCATGCTATAGACTGAATTGTGTTCCCCCAAATTCATACGTCGAAGCCCTAACCCCCAATGTATGGTGTAAGGAGGTGGGGCCTTTGGGAAGTGATTAGGGTTAGATGAGGGCATGAGGGTAGAGCCCCCGCAAGAGGAAGGGATCAGAGTGCTCTCCTTCCCCCCGGCAACTATGTGAAGACACAGCAGGAAGGCAGCCATCTGCAAGCCAGGAAGGGAGCCCTCCCCAGAATCTGACCATGATGTCACCCTGATCTCAGACTTCTAGTGTTCAGAACTGTGAGGAAGCAATGTCTGCTAGTTAAGTTACCCAGATGGCAGCTGGGTAGACTAAGACACCTGGAGTGTTACCTTCCCAGCTTTCCTCCTGAAAAGTGCTCCCTAAACCCACCACATAAGGCAAACTGTACCGGCTCTAGAGCTCCCATTGCTCCCGCCCACCAGCAGAAGGGCACAGATGAGGGAGGGGGAAGAACAGACCAGGAACTTCCAACGTGGCTCCCAGGACCCAATTTCAGGTATCCTAGAAGTTGTGGCCATCAAGATAGAACTCCATAGCAACCTAAATGTCCACTGACAGATGACCAGATAAAGAAGACATGGTACATATATACACTGGAATATTACTCAGCCACAAAAAAGAATGAAATAATGCCATTTGCAGCAACATGGATGGACCTAGAGATTATCATACTAAGTGAAGTAAGTCAGACAGAGAAAATCAAATATCTTATGATATCACTTATATGTGGAATCCAAAAAAAATGGTACAAATGAACTTATTTATATTATAAACAGAAATAGACTCACAGGCATAAAAAACAAACTTATGGTTACCAAAGGGGAAAAGGGATGGAGGAATAAATTAGGAATTTGGGATTAACAGATACACACTGCTATATATAAAACAGATAAACAACAATCACCTACTGTACAGCACAGGGAACTATATTTCATATGTTGTAATAACCGATAATGGAAAAGAATCTAAAAAAGGATATATGTATCTGAATCACTTTGCTGTACACCTGAAACACTGAAAATTAACTATACTTCATTAAAAAAATTTTTTTAAGGAAAAAGATGATATTTTTAACCCATTTACAGATGATAAAACTATGGGGAAAAAAAGAGAGAGCTCCATGCCAAGGGAATGACTCTGTGGTAGGGTTCCACAGCCGCAGGCTGGAGGGGAGGGGAAGCAGCATCAGTAGGAGCAGGCCTGACCCCAAGGAGCTCTAGAAAAACCACCTAAGAAGCTGCCATCCCCCCAGGGAAGCCACTGAAAACGGTACTGAGGCCACACACTCTTGCAGATTATACGGGGATGACCACAGGTGATCCGACAGGTCACAGAGGCAAGATGAACCAGAGAAACAGAAACGGCAAAACCAGGACTTCCCTGGTGGCACAGTGGTTAAGCATCCACCTGCCAATGCAGGGGACATGGGTTTGAGCCCTGGTCCGGGAAGATTCCACATGCTGCGGAGCAACTAAACCCGTGTGTCACAACTACTGAGCCTGCGCTCTAGAGCTTGCAAGCCACAACTACTGAAGCCCGTGTGCCTAGAGCCCGTGCTCTGCAACAAAGAGAAGCCACTGCAATGAGAAGCCTGCGCACCGCATCGAAGAGTGGCCCCCGGCTCGCTGCAACTAGAGAAAGCCCGCGCGCAGCAGCGATGACCCGACACAGCCAAAAATAAATAAATAAATACATAAATTAAAAAAAAAAAAAAGAACGAGCAAAACCAGCAGCACTTCAGTTCCCTCCAAAGCAACCTGAACGCTCTCCTCCTGGGAGCCTGCGGTGGATACAGCCCCAGCCGACCATTCCACGCTACATGCTGGCTTGGGGTGGGTGTATCGCTTCCCAGGAATGCAGGGCTGGACCCGGGTGGGCCTGGCAGCAAAACCTCAGATCCTTAGGACGGCCCTGAAACCAAGCTGAAGAACCCCCGCCCCGCTCCCACAGCCCCCGGACAAGAGGTGGGTCCTCTGGGCAGCTAGGACAGACGGGAGGGGTGTGGACGTAGCAGCCCCACGCCTCCCTTGTCTGGCCCTGGCACCTTGTTAGCTGGCACTCTAAGGGCAGCCGGCACAGGCCTAAGACAAGCGAAAAAAATCAGTAATACTCAGGCCCTCTTTCTTTAGAGAGTTGGCACTTTGCTCATCGTAATTTTTCACATTGATTTTGATTCTTTAGAATTTGAATTAGAATATTATTTATCTTGATGACTGATGTCTTTGGTAGCCCCTAAGGCATGTGCCAGAGGCGGTGCCTCCCTCTCCTCTCTGCCCTGACAAGGCTGTCAGTGAAACACCCCTCCGTCCCCCACCAGCGATCTGGAACCAGCCTGGCTCCTGAACTGGGGCCAGCACGTCGCATGTGTGGAACAGAAATGGTTTACCGCGTGGAGCACTGTGTCCCTGGGACAAACGAGAAGGGGGCATGGGCCAGCCCCAGTCTGACGTGGTGGGCTCCCCACACCAGCTCCCCATGGCGAGCCACAGGCCCCACCTCCCACTGTTGCCACGCCAGCTCTCTGCTTGCGCCAAAGACCCCGCCTCCCTTCTCCCCAGCTGGCCTCCACGGCCCCTTTGCGCAGGATTTCTCATCCAAACTCCGGCCATCATCCCAGGAACCAGCAGACGTGGGCTTCCTGCTGCCTGCAGCTGTGGGCACCCCGACCCAGGCTGGTTGTTTTTCTCCCAACATCATCAGCTCTGCCAAGAGCAGAACGAGCCCTGTGTTTATGCTGACCTCGTCATTTCACAGAAGAAGGAGAAGAAAAGACATGTGAGGAGGAAACCATGCCAAAGGGACTGGATATGGGCCCTCTCCTCCGTCTCCCCCACCCCGCCTGGCTTGGGGGAGCAGGCAGGCTCTTCCCTCTGCCCTGTCACCAGCCCTGGCTCTGCTCGCGCACAGGGCTGGCTCAGAGGATGTCTGGATTTTTCTTTGCTTTGGAAAAAGTAACTGCTCTCCACTCCTCACCAGGAGCAACGGCCCTGAGGCTTCTTAGGAAACGATTCCTGCAGGGAAGAGCAGGCATCTGAGACCTTTCGTGATGTCTGTTGAGTCTTGCCTCATGGCTGGGCAGTTGGTTCTGCCACCAAGATCCCAGGCCCCAAGCCCCCCCAGCTGGGGCTCTAAACTCCCCAGACCCTCTACCCAACAGAGGTCACCTCCCTGGCCTCCTGGCAGCCTGTGACTTCCAGGCCACAGGGCCGGAGTCTGGAGCAGCAGGGAGAGGACCTGGTCTGCCCAATGAAGTCACTGTCTCAACTGGACAGCTACATGTAAAAGAATGAAATTAGAACACGCCCTAACACCATGCACAGAAATAAACTCAAAATGGATTAAAGACCTAAATGTAAGGCCAGACACCATCAAACTCTTAGAGGAAAACATAGACAGAACACTCTAGGACATAAATCACAGCAAGATCCTTTTTGACCCACCTCCTAGAGAAATGGAAATAAAAACAAAATAAAGAAATGGGACCTAACGAAACTTAAAAGCTTTTGCACAGCAAAGGAAACCATAAACAAGACGAAAAGACAACCCTCAGAATGGGAGAAAATATTTGCAAACGAAGCAACTGACAAAGGATTAATCTCCAAAATTTACAAGCAGCTCATGCAGCTCAATATCCAAAAAACAAACAACCCAATCCAAAAATGGACAGAAGACCTCAATAGACATTTCTCCAAAGAAGATATACAGGTTGCCAACAAACACATGAAAGAATGCTCAACATCATTAACCATTAGAGAAATGCAAATCAAAACTACAGTGAGATATCATCTCACACCAGTCAGAATGGCCATCATCAAAAAATCTACAAACAATAAATGCTGGAGAGGGTGTGGAGAAAAGGAAACACTCTTGCACTGCTGGTGGGAACGTGAATTGATACAGCCACTATGGAAAACAGTATGGAGGTTCCTTAAAAAACTAAAAATAGAACTACCATACGACCCAGCAATCCCACTACTGGGCATATACCCTGAGAAAACGATAATTCCAAAAGAGTCATGTACCAAAATGTTCATTGCAGCTCTATTTACAATAGCCAGGACATGGAAGCAACCTAAGTGCCCATCGACCGATGAATGGATAAAGATGTGGCACATATATACAATGGAATATTACTCAGCCATAAAAAGACATGAAATTATTTGTAGTGAGGTGGATGGACCTAGAGTCTGTCATACAGAGTGAAGTAAGCCAGAAAGAGAAAAACAAATACCGTATGCTAACACATATATATGGAATCTTAAAAAAAAAAATGGTGGTGAAGAACCTAGGGGCAAGATGGGAATAAAGATGCAGACCTACTAGAGAATGGACTCGAGTATACGGGGAGGGGGAAGGGTAAGCTGGGACAAAGTGAGAGAGTGGCATGGACATATATACACTACCAAACGTAAAATAGATAGCTAGTGAGAAGCAGCTGCATAGCACAGGGAGATCAGCTCAGTGCTTTGTGACCTCCTACAGGGGTGGGATAGGGAGGGTGGGACGGAGGGAGACGCAAGAGGGAAGAGATATGGGGACATATGTATATGTATAACTGATTCACTTTGTTATAAAGCAGAAACTAACACACCAGTGTAAAGCAATTATACTCCAATAAAGATGTTAAAAAATAAAAATAAAATAAAATAAAATCATTACCGAAGTCAATGCCTCATAATTCACTCCCAGCAGGTTGTCCCTAAAGCACCTGCACATACAATCAGATACTGAGGCACAAACACTTGGTCAAGTTAAACAAACCACTGAATACAGGAACGTGTAAGAAGCACTTCTAGAAAACAGAATGCAGCAGAGAGCTACCTTTTCCTTCTTGGCGATCTCCATCCTGGCTCTGTCATCCAGCATTTGTACCGCAGCCCGCCCGGGGGAGCTGGAACCCCTCAGTGTTCCCCAACGGGCTTCCAAGGCAGAAATATCCCCAGGCTTCTCCCAACCAAGGGTCACGGCCGGCCCGAGTGTCTGGTAGAATATGGTCCACCTTCTGGCTGGCTTCTGGCTTGAGGTTCAATCACAGAGTTTCCTCCTTTTCATTGTTCTCCAGCAAGCCTGCCAGCCTTCTCTTCTGGGTCCCAGTCGGGACCCTTCCCCACTGAGGCCTTGTCAGGCCAGGTATGGGTGGGGCAGGGCCATTGCCGGGCTCCAGAGCTGGTCAGCACTGGTCAGCTTTCTCTCCGGGCTGTGCTGAGCTGTGACGGCGTGGTGTTCTCTAGACAGACTCAGCAGAAAAGGTCCTCTTTCCTCCTGTGGCTGGGGGACAGCTTTTGAGTAATTAAGCTGTGGGCGACTGTTCTTTTCTCACACCCCAACCTGCTTCCCTGAGGCTCAGTCACAGCCCAACACTTCCTGCTCTGACCAGGTATGGAGTGGGGAATTCTCCTGCCAGGGCTTTCTGCCCTCCTGCGAGGGCCCACGCTGCCATGGCAACCAGGAACAGGCCTCTGCACTCACACCCTCCAGCCTCTGCAGGGCTGACCATCATGTCATTAGAGCTGCCATGCAGAAAACTGGGGCTGATGGCAAAAGGCCTCCATCCCCATCACCATAGCGACAGCCCAATCGCCTTATCACCGCAGACTTTGCCACCTGTCCAGTTCCCAGGGCAGGGTCACAGGGTCTTCCAAATTCATGTCCTAAGGAGGAGAGGCCCCCTTGAGTCTGGGAACCAGAGGAAAGGGAGCAGGTGGCTTAGCCAGTGGCATTGCCACACGTGCCCAGGCCACCCTCAAGCTTTGGTCACTGCCTTCCCTGACTACCATCTGCAAATATGAGCTCTGCTGGGATCCAGCAGAGGGAGAGGGAAGGAGTGGCCGGTGAGACCTCTCCAAATGGATACGCTGAAATGTTTTTAAACCAATTTCGTATTGATGGTCATCTGGGCAGTTTCCGTTTTCCCCTGTTATAAATCTTGGCCTTTTACCAGGGTCAACACGTGCATGTGTTTCTCCTGGATGCTTCCTAGAGGCTGAATTGCTAGGTCCAATGCTGGGCACATTTTATGATTGTGCAGACAGGACTACATTGGCCCCTTCAAATGGTTTCACCAATTAATCCTTCCAGCATCATTAGGAGTTTGACTCCATGCTGGCCAGTCCTTGAGATGATGAATCTTTATAACTTTTTCTTATCTGTCATCTCATTATCATTTGAATTGCAAAGTGCTGGACACCTTTTCATATGTTTATGGTTATTTGTATTCCTTTTTCTAAGGATGATTTGTTTATATTACTTAACTGTTTTGTTATTGAATTGTCTTCTACTTTTCAATTTGTATAAACTATTTTTATATTCCATCCATAATATCTATTAATCCTTTTCTTGTTGAATATGCTGTATTACCTATTGCTAAACATATGGCTTGATCAATGGTGTCTTTTAACACACAGAAGTATTTCTTTTTTATGAATTTGGCTTGCTTTCTTTTTTTGAAGCTCGTGTCTTGTTAAGAAAAGCATTTCTGGGGGCTTCCCTGGTGGCACAGTGGTTGGGAGTCCGCCTGCCAATGCAGGGGACACGGGTTCGAGCCCTAGTCCTGGAGGATCCCACAGGCTGCGGAGCAACTAAGCCCGTGCGCCACAACTACTGAGCCCACACACCACAACTACTGAAGGCCGCGCGTGCCTGGAGCCCGCGCTCCGCAATAAGAGAAGTCACCGCAATGAGAAGCCCGCGCACCGCCAACGAAGAGTAGCCCCCGCTCGCCGCAACTAGAGAAAGCCCACGCGCAGCAACGAAGACCCAACGCAGCCAAAAATAAAAAAATATTTTTTTAAAAAAGAAAAGCATTTCCCACCCAAAATTAGAAAAATGTTCTCCCCCATTTCCTTGTAATATTTTTCCAGTATTTTAAAAATGTTCAGCACTTTGGCCCCTCTGGAATTTGCTTGTGTATAGTATGAGGTAGGAGTCTAACATTTGTTGGCTATCTTTTCCCCACTGATTTGTATTGATAACTGCACCACAGTTTATGCTCCATTGTTGTATTTCTCTGTTGTGAGGGAACGGTTCTGCTCTGGTCACCTTGCAGGTGTCCTCAAAGGCCACCAGGCCAAGTCTGGGACCACAGCTAATCTGAGCCTGTCAGAACACTTTGTGATGCTCCAGGAACTGAGGTTGGACTTGTGAGGAGCTGCTCTGAGGCCACCTCCCACTCTCTTCCACATCTGCCCAGGAGGCATCAGGAGGGTTTCCCCTCATCTCTGGTTCCAAGATGCGAGGCTTTCTGTCCCTGCCCCCAGGGTGTAGCTGCCATCTAGAATGGGCTCCCAGGCAGAGGTGATGTCTTGGGGTGATTTGAGGTGCAGGAATCCAGCTCTCTTTGGTTGCGTGTCATCCTTTCTGGTGCATAGGACAAAGATGGGAAGTGGCACATTTGGTGGGTTTTTTTCTCTTTCCTTCCTTCCTTTTCTCTTTCTTTTCTCTTTCTTTCTCTCTCTCTCTCTTTCTTTCCTTTCTTTTTATTTTGCTGCCTGTGTCAGCAACAGACTGTCTAAATGTAAAAGTGGCTCTCGGTACTCTGCCTGCCTTGGCCTCAGCTCTATGAGCTGGATGTCTCTCTGTCCGTTCCTGTAGATACCGCATTCTTTCAGTTGGCACTTTTCAGTTTTTTGATATCTGGTGGGAAGGGATCCCTTCCTTTTATTTTCCTACAAAAGTTTCTTTACCATAAGGCTTTTATCTTTCATATAAATCTTAGAATCTACTCTTCCCATTTCACTAAAATAATGCTGTTGATCATTTCATTGGAAAGGCACTGAATTTGTGGATTTGGGGATCCATTTTAGAGAACAGACATCTTTATAATGTCAAGTCTTCTCATTTCAGAAATGTAGCCAGTTGCCCTGTTTGTTCAGATCTTCTCTTATGCCCTTCAGTTGAGCTTCATTATTTTTCTCTTATAGATCACACACATTTCTTATTAGATTTATTCCTAAAGAAAGGAAATATATTTATATGGAGGAGAAACTGTCATTATAAGTATACTGATTAAAACATTTATGATTCACAAAGTACTTTTGTATTCATTCTGTCATTTGATCAGACAGTCTTGGGGCAGTAGGCAGGGGTGGTATCATTTTTACCACTTTCAAATGAGTTCACTGAGACTGGGGATGTTGAAGGATTGGGCTGCAAAGGCTCACCATCCCCCAAGGACAGGGGCCGAGGCAGTCCTCATGCATTAGTCCCAGGTCCTGCTGCATAGCCCTGTGGCCTCCCTGGCCACAGATGACTGGAATGTCACCTGATCCAAGGGCAGCCACACTGCACACAGGTCAGAGCCTTGGGAGTGACCTCACAGGAGACATTTACCCAACAGGGACTACTTGAAACAACAGGTGATTTTACGGGGGCCTCAAACTGGCACAATCTCTGAACATTCAAGTCTCCATAGGAAAGTCCTGCATCTTCCTCCCTAGGGTGAGGCAGAGGATGGTACATTCCTGGGGGAAGTATCTGTGGTGCCGGAGGGAGGAGCGTCTTCAGGGCTCCCCTTGCTTCCTCCCCGCCCCCCCAACCCGCCCCTGCAGCTCCGGGACCTTGTGCTTCAGCCCCTCACTCTGCTAAGCCCCCATCACCCCACCTCTCCCCAATTTAAACCTGCCTACCCTGGTTAGCCTCTCACTTTTTGCCATTCTCCTCCTGCCCTCTTTGTGTCATTCTAGTGAAGCTCATATAAACATATGTATTTCATCTTCTATGTTTAAGCAGAAGTTTGTACCAATATTGTTTGGGGTTCACTGACCTTTTTAACCTGGGCAAATCCCACTGCTTCTCCCAAGTGTCAAACAGGAAGCCCTGGGCTTTGCTCTAATTGGACGGCCTACCCTGCCGGTGTGGGGAGAAGGTCTGCATTGATTAGCTGAGACGTGGGTCAGGTGCCCATCTCTAGACCAATCTCTGAGGCAACAGGGATGGGATTGTGTTGATTGGCTCAGACTTCCTGGCACCCATGTGGAAACAGGGATTGTGGGGCTGGAAGTGGGTGGGGAGGGGGCTCTATCGCTTGCACTTTCAGATTCTTAGTCGTGACTTTTCCTTTATGACGACTCCTGTCCTTGCTTTCTGCTCTCAGAGGTCCTGGGGACCAGGCTGCTGTGAGGCCCAGACTCCTCTTTCATGGTGGCTGGCTCTGCCCCTTTCCCAGGGCCTCTGCCTGCCCCGCTTCCCCCCTTCCTATTCTGCAGACTTTCTCCCACTTTCTGTGCAGGGCAGCACCACAGGAGTAAGGGTGCCTCAGATCAAGTCCTGCCTAAGTGACCATGTATCCAGAGTGGGCTACACATCCATCCCTAGATCCGGAGCAGGGGAGGGGTGCCTGGTGGTACAAATACAGCTCCTGGGAAGCCCCTGCAGAAGAGGCAGTTCTGAGGGTGCCTGTCCCTCTATTTCAGGGAGCTCCCAGCTGCCTCCTGTCTTCCTTGGCTGTGATCTCTTCCAGCCCACTGCCTCCAGGTAAACCTTATAGTATACCCGGTCCTCTCCTGCTCTGTCATCCTCTGTTCCCTCTCTGCTGGTGGCAGAGCCATGTCTGTGCCTGTCTTCCCTGTGGCCTGGAGAACTGCGTGGGAGCACAGGACACGTGGGTAAGCAGTGGTGGTAGTCAGCAGCCTTCCTGGGGGCTGGGTCTGCTAGTAGACCCTGGTTGATGGCATCAAGTCCGTGCTCCTTAGACTTGGTGAACTACTAAGAAGGTGTAGGGGAGGAATAATTCTCCTCTGCCCTCTTTGGCTCGCCAGCTGGGCCTAGGAACTAAACTGACATTAACAGAAGAAAGGCATACAGGTTTTATTTAAATTTTTACCTGTACAGAGGCGCCTTCATGAGAGAATGAAAATCCAAAGAAATGACCAGAGAAAAAGCTTTTATACTTTTATAAAAAAAACAATAAATTTGTGAAGAACTGACAGGACAGCGGGGCTGGGGGTTGGGAGAGTAAATTGCAGAGAAGTGACTAAGGAAAATGAGGGTTGGTTCAAAATAATCAATATGTCAAAGCAACATATTTAAGGTGACATGCTCTGAACTCCTTTGGAGGCCTGACCACATTGGTGGCCCCTTTCAGGGCCCCTTTCCTGGGTAGGCTGTGGAGGCTGGTGTTAGGCTTAGAGTGAAAACAGCCCTGCTGCCCTGGCCTTGACTGGCCTGACAAGGGGGTACGGGGACCAAGGCCACTGAATGGCTGGTTTCCCCCCTGGGCTGGGCCTCCTGGAGTAGTCCCCTCAGCCAGCTTTTATCCAGCTCCCTAGAGGGTTCCACTGTGCAGCTAAATTGAGTGCCTTCTGAGAGCTGAGCAAAGCCTCGAAGGTGGGTGGCTGCCTGCCTTGCCCAGTGGGGGCGAACTTAGAGAGCCTCAGCCATTTGTCATGGGCAGCCTTGTTCCAGTTCTGTCTGCAGGGCCCAGCAAAGGAGGGGGGCCAGGACTCCAGAGAAATGTGCCATCTCCACAAGTGTGGATGCTGTGTGCATAACATCAGCGCCCTGCCCTACAATCTTTTCTATCCCCACAATTGCAGACTTACAGGACAGCTGCAAGAATGGTACAGTGAAACTCCTGGATACCCTTCATCCTGACTTTTTAAATTTACCATATTTGCTTTACCCTCCATATGTATCACAGATCTGAACCCTTTAAGAGCATGTTTCAGACAGGATGGCCGTTTACCCGAGTACTTGTGTGTATTTCCTAAAAACAAAGAATTCACTTACATAACCACAACACCATAAGCAAAATCAAGAAATTAAAACAGATACAATACTAATCTTCAATCTATAGACCTTCCTCAGATTTCAGCCTACCATCAAATCTCCACTTCCCACAGCCTGCAGGACACCTGTAACCCACCATGACCTCTCCTCCTTTTTGTCATGAACGGTAACAATACACGTAATCATCATTGTTGTTACTTGTTAAACAGCTACTATGACTAGAGCTTGGAACATAATGTCTTATTCCCAGCAACATGCTTATGGAAAGCGTATTTTTCCAGTTTTACAGATGAAAGAGACTCAGAGGAGTTAACGGTTTGTTCACTTTTGTGGTTTTGTGGTCTGCGGAAGTGCTGGGACTGAATCCAAGTTGGGTGACAGCTGGGGTGTTGGAGTGGAAGATGGGTCTTGCTATTCAGTAAGATGGATGAGCTTGGGGAGTTGGTAACCACATAGGCCAAGCGAGGCTTTCTGGGGTGATGGAGGACAAGCAAAGCCAGAGAGGAGGGAGAGCGCTGCTAGAGCTGTGAAAGTTTGTTACGTGTTTTGGTGTTGACGTGTGTTTCTTAGGAGCAATATCCTTAACCTGAATCTCAGTTTCTATGTCTGTAAGGTGGTAATAATATTTTCCTGTTTTTGTGAGGATTAAATGAGGACGCATATGGAAAGTGCTTGGTGTAACGGAAACGTCAAGACAATTACTATTACGTGTCACGTGAATACATTTAAATCTATTCCAACCCAACACTGTCCTGATTCCTCCTTTTATACGACTTTTAGTAGCAAAGGAAAAGGAACTTTGAGAACTGTCTTCAGAAATGGCTCTCACCCGCCCCCTATAGGTCAACCATGTCAGCGCAGTCACGATGGGGCTGCACTAACAGCTCCCCACCATCCCGTGACACTGGCCTGGCGTTGGCCAAAGTCTGTTCTTAACGTTTAGTACCAACATGGATGGGATGTGGGAAAGCTCTCTCCACCCTCTGCACTTGGAAATAGCCAGGGAAGAGGGTCGGTGAGGAAGGTGCTGAGTGAAAGCAGGTGGTGGGAACTTCCTTCAGCCACAGGAATATTTAGAGCCATGGTTCTCTAAGCCACTGCTCCCCAGGGTGCATTTGGCAATGTCCAGAGACATTTTTGTATTTCTATTTATTTGTCTGTTTGTTTGTTTATTTTTGGCCACACGGATGCAGGATCTTAGTTCCCGACCAGGGATCAAACCCTTGCCCCCTGCAGTGGAAGCTCAGAGTCTTAACCACTGCACAGTCAGGAAAGTCCCACCGGAGACATTTCTGGTTGCCAAATGGCCGGTGGGGTGCCACCAGCATCTAGTGGGTAAAAGGCCTGAGATGTTGCCTGCAATGCACGGACAGCCGCCAACAACAAAGAATTATCCAATCCGAAATATCAACAGTGACAAGGCTGAGACACGCTGATTTAGGGTAATGTTTAGAGTGATGCCGTTGGTTTTTCAAATATTACCATCTCTTTCCCATCATTTCAGATCTGGCTGCTTCTAGCATGATAGTTGTGTAACCTTTCTGCCAACTTCCAAACACCAAGGTCCTTTCACCTCTGTCCTGCAAGATGCTCTCGGATAACATACCACTCAACAAACAAGAAGCGTGAAAGATGTACTACCCTTAGGGAACTGAGCCTCATTCATCCCCATCCATTGAAAAAGCATTATTCCAACATCTCAAGCAAAATGAGGTTTTCCAAGTCACGGTAAGCCAAGCTGCTCCCTCAGTTTGGAGATGAGTTTCTGCCCCTTTTGAGGTGAAGTGGCTCTGCTACTCTGTGAGGTCAGCAGTTTGGCTCCCAAATCAGTGGTTAGACATCTGGTTTCCCAGGTGGTGGGCAGGCCCAGGAGCCCTCACCCCTGCGGGCTTGTGCTGAAGGGACCTGTGTGACCAGGGACTTGCTCCCAGGCAGGCAGGAGGAAGGCGTGGGAATGTCAAGAGAGGACTCAATCATCTGAAAACAAGAGGCATACCTTCACCTCCCGGCAGGTCCCTGCCCTTCTTCACCCAGAAAGGAGATATGATTCAGAAAACACTTTCCAGGGACAGCAGTTCGCCCATAAACCAAAGTCCCTTGTGTGGGGTTTACAAAGCCCTGGCGTGGGGGTGGGACTCGGTCTCACCGTTAGGAGGGAGGACAGCGCCGGGGGACACAGGCGCCTCTACAGGCCTCAGAATGGACCGGGAGGAAGCGAGAGGCCTCTGGGAGAACTCAGGACGGCCAGGGAGAAAAGGACAGGCCCTCGCAGAGAGAAGGACAGCGAGGGAAGTCTAAACACTTACGAGCAGCAAGCCTGGCGGCCTACGAAAGCCCAGGGGGCGGGGGACCGACCTCCAGCGCAAGCGCAGCACTCTGCCCCGCCCCCTCGCCCGTGCTTCCGGCTGCTCCTTTCTGCATCCGGGGCACGAAAACTCCTCGTTAGGCCTCGGGCGGCGGCCTCTGACCGGAGCCGGAAGTGGACCCGGAGCCAGGCGGAGGAAGCCGGCGGCCGACCCGTCAGCAGTCTGTGGTGGTCTCGAGGGGCGGCGCCGCGCTGCTCCCAGCGAGCCGATCCCGCGGCCAGGCGGGTAGCCGGCCCGAGGGCGCGAAGCCATGAGGCTGTACAGCCTCAGCGTCCTGTACAAAGGCGATGCCAAGGCGGTGCTCCTCAAAGCCGCGTACGACGTGTCCTCCTTCAGCTTCTTCCAGAGGTCCAGGTAGGCGGGCCCAGGCGGGCGGTGCCCGGGCGGGGAGGCCTGGGATCGGGGTTGGAGACGGCCCCGGAATCGGGGGAGGGCCGGGGCTCGGCCTCCCGTGGTGGAGCCGGCTGTGGCCTCTTCCTCGGCCTGCGGACTGTGCCTCTGAAGAATCATGTTTTTTTCGATCGCAAAAAGCTTTATCCCATCGTAGAACGTAATGCTGTAATCAGGGTTTTTCCAAATTTCTGTCGTATAAAAATTATTGGGGGGCTTTGAAAAAGTGCGGATTCCCCAGGCTCACGTCCAGTGGAGGCCCAGCGATCTATATTTTAAACCAGCAACGCCCACTTAGTGATGCTGACCTAGGAAGCTTACGTGCCACTCCTTAAGAGCCACGTTTGTATTATCTGTTGGGGCTTTCCAGCAGTTCCGTATGAGAGATATTGGTATACTGTCCTATCTTATGAGTGAAGTCACTGAGGTCCCAAGAGATGGATACCAAACCAGCCAGGACTCCAACGCAAATCGTACGCTCTTTATGGTTGGGCTTTAGTGGTACAGAAGGGTTCTACGGTGAAGATTTGGAAGGAAGCGTGGGATCTGTAGGGCTTACAAGCTTTTGAACATTCGTGAGGCGCTTTAATGCAATCAGGTGTGTATTAGAATTACCACAGACACTTCCAGCCTGTTCGTGGGAGGGATGGGGGTGACTCAGGCACAAAAGAAGGACCCTGCAGAGCCTGGGTCTGTGGTCATCCAGTCTCCGGGCCTGGGGAAATCTGCAGTCTGGATTCTGTTTTCGCTGCTTCAGTGCGGCTGTTTTGTTCTTGATGAGAGCGGCTTACTGGCAGGATCTCAGACAATTCCTCTTGTTATTTTGTCGAAACTTTCTGCGGCTTTCTGGGTCCATCTTGGCACTTCTTAGCTTTCTTTATCATGACCTCTAGTCTCTGTTCTGTGTCCCTTCTTTTCTGTGATTGAACTTTGGGAGCTAACTTGGCTAATTCTGATTCTTTCACTTTTTCCTTTTCCCCTCCCCACGTATACTGAAGATCCTCAGAGATTTCACTGTAGGACTTTCACCTCACTGGTTTGCGATGCCCAGACCAGTTTCAGATGATTAACACAACTGCGATACTGTAGGGACATCTCTACCAGTGCCTCTTAAAACAACACGTAGTCCAGCCGAGCTCACTGTTTTTCTCATAAGTCCTCTTCTCTTCCATCCTGCCTGCCTCATGATTATCAGAACCCAAGCCTCAACCCTTCGAAGGGTTTTCCAGCTTTTCTGGCCCTTGTATGCAGACTCTCACAATGAATGCAGTTCTTCATTTGTCTAATTATAGTCCTACTCTAAGCTCTGTCTCTTTTTAGCTTTACTGCAAGGACTTCCTTGTTTTCAGACTTTTCTCTAAGGGATCATCTTGATCCTATCACCCTCTCAAGATAATAATAACAAGTAATACTGTGCGCCAGACATCGTGCTAAGTGCTCATCTAATCATCGCAGCAAATCTCGATTTATAGATGAAGCCTGGTGCAGTAAGTACCTTGCCCCGGAGGTCATACGTCTCATAAGTGGTGGAGCTGGGATCCCAGCCAGGGAAGTCCGCTCCCGAGTCCTCACTCGTCTGTGTGGCTCTCCGTGCGGTTTCAGAAGTATCCACATCTGCTGAGGCTAACTGTGGATTCCCCAAGTCACGGCCCTGTGCTGACTGCCCTTTACATTCCAGTCAGAGGCTTCTTGTTAACTCCGCTTCCTCCAGCTGGACCGTCATCATCTGGGACCCTTCCTTTCTGGCCACATCTCTCAGTTGGGCCCGTGAGCCGCCTCCTCCCTCTCAGCCTCTGTGCGAGCCATTTTCCGTTTCCTTGTCTTGTCTGAGCTCTTGCCCTGCCTTCCTTCCAGAGTGCCCCGGGCTCATACGGAGGATTTGCCCCAGCAGACCGGAGGCCTCGTTCTCTGCCAGAGCCAGCAGTCACTGCGGACATGTGTCACATTGCCGGGTTCAGCCAGTGGCAGCTGCCATAACTGACTGTGCATCCGCCGAACACTTTTTGCCACTTATGTTATTCTGTCACAGATTTTACTTGTCCCCGCTTCTCAGAAGTCAGTGGAGCCTTGAAAACAGGAGCTGGCTTTTGCTTCTCCACTGTGCCCCAAATCATACACTGACCAAAATGTTAAATTAAGTATAACCTGTAGAAAGTTCCCTGGAAGTCTGGAAGTGGTTTGTTTGAGCAAGCTAGGTAGCAAGCAGATGTGGTTTGAATGGTCTTGGTGATTTCTAATTATCTGTATTTGTGATCATTGACAGGGTGTTTATTATTTCTTCCTAAGGTTGGGAGGGAAAGGAATGAAACCAAGAAGCAGTGTCTCCTTAGTGTATACGCTCAGAGGTCCCTTTCCACTGTGTTGGGGACAAGGTGACAGGAACAGGTAATATGTGTTGTGTTTCTTAGCGTTCAGGAATTCATGACCTTCACAAGTCAGCTGATTGTGGAGCGCTCCTCGAAAGGCAGCAGAGCTTCTGTCAAGGAACAAGGTAAGAGGACCTGCTACCTTGTGAGTGTGTGCTGGCCTGGCTGCCCCACCTCAGGCAGCTCGGAGCTTGATCAGCAGGAGTGCTTGCCGCGTGATGAAGCGGGCTACCAGGACCCCACTCCTCTGCTAGCTGCTCTCTTCCCTCCTCCTCGTTTTCCTGTTATGCAAAATTCTATGCCCACTGTTGGTGTCGAAGTTGCCTGGTTAAAATCACCCCCAAAAGCTTGGACTTGCTTAAGATTAGGGTCCGCCTCTCGGAGCAGTAAGCGGCCTTCCTGCTGTGTCCTCTTTCCCCTCTGGAGTTGTAGATATCTCAGGAAAGGATGTCCACCCAGCCCTGTGGAGGTAGTACTGTATTCTGTGCTGCTTAGATTTTTGCCCAAGAATCTGGAAACTCATTACTTTTTCCTCTTGACCTTAGTTTTTTCTTCTTCATGATTCAGGTTTCCTTTAAAATTTTTTAGACATTTATTTTAGAGGCATTTGGTGAGCTGTGTCATCTCTGAATCCTTTTAAAGTGACAAAAATTAATTTCAGGGATTGTGACTGTTTTGCAGAAGCTCTTGTATAGACTCTGTACCTTTTGATAACTTGACGACTTCAGCACATGCTTGAGACCCCAGCCAGCCGTGGCTAATTGTTTTCTGGATGGGCTTTGTCTCTTCCTCCCATCCTGCCCCGTCCCCGCCAAGGCCCACCACAGAGTGGAGCAGGCTAGGTTGCTGTAATGAGGAAGGCTGAGGCCCTGACAGGTGATTTCTAAGAAAGTGGAGGCTGCTTGGCTTGGCCAAGGTTCCATCAGCTTGGGAGCAGAGCACAGCAGAGCCCCAGAGGGCTGCAGCTTCCCAAGATACAGGTGAGCCTGACCTAGAGCTCAAGGATGTGACTTGGACATGCACCTGGGGCCCTGTTGCCTGGGATGTTTCTGCACCACTGGTGCTCCTTTAGACCCTGGCTTTGCACACTGGGCCTTGGGGCATTCACTCGCCCTGCAGCAGGTGTTGGGCCGCGCTGCCGTCAGAACTACACGCGCTGTCCTATGTGCAGGGCCTGACCATAAACCTCACTCAGAGCCGCTTCGTTGGCCCAGGAGGCAGGAGCCCAGCACTGTAACACTCTGACTGGTTTTGGTGGTGAGAAAGTCTAAAGCCCTCACGTCACCCTCTGTGTGTCTGGCCTCTTGTCTCCCTAGAATATCTGTGCCATGTCTACGTGAGAAACGACAGTCTGGCGGGAGTGGTCATTGCTGACAGTGAATACCCATCCCGGGTGGCGTTTACCTTGCTGGAGAAGGTGTGTCTGCAGCTCGGCTGGACTATACTTGGACAGACGAGTGTGGACTGGGGCCAGGAGTGACGACAGGGCCCAAGGCGGAAGGGGCGAAATAGTGTGTCCAAAATCAACCTGTTCTCAGCTTTTCTTCTCACCCTAAACCAAGAGAAAGTCTGGGAGCCTTCCCAATCCCATCCGTCCCACCCCACCGTACCCCCTGCTCCTGCCAATTTCTGCTGCTCACCCTGCTAGTGTCCCTGGTGCTGCCTTGACTCTGCTTGTTGGCCACAGAGTCACGGCATCTCTCCTTCCGGGAGGGAGCCCTCGCGTCAGCTCTGGCTGTGCTTTTTGCCCCCGTCACTCCTCTTGCTGGCTCTCTTCCTGCCTCTGCCCTCAAAGTCATGACTTTCATTTCTTTCTGAGCCACACTAGACTATGTGCTCTGCCCCGTGACCCACGTCCCCTCCTCCCCCCTTCTGCTCCGACAGGCTTGTAGGGCACACGCTGGGCCCCTCCCCACCTCTGTGCCTCTGCTGCAGGAGTCCCCCTGCTGGCCCATCATGCAGTTACAGCAGCTTCTTTCCCCGTGTGGGGCTAGCGCCGCCACGTTCTTCAGTGTGTTTTTGTGGTGCTAATGATAAACTCCTCAAAGGCCCTGGCTTCACATCCCCCAAAACACTCGTACACTTATAAGCACATGAAATCTGGTGGCTGCTTAAACTTAAGGGACCTAATTATCTTTCTGAAGAATTGTTTTGGAAAATTAGAGGGCCAATATCCTTTGTTCTGGAAATTCGTAACCTGATAAAAGTGGAAATCTGTAGTTTGAAATTCTAATAATTCTGTCATTCACCCGATGAGGTTCATATGAGGCTAGGCATCCTCGGTTTTTAATTCCCAGAATACTGAGGAAGGAGGAACTTGAACTTAGATTTTCCCCTTGCCGTTAGCCATCCTCCTCTACCCTCCTCCCTGGGTCCTCTCTTTCGGATGAGCACAGCAGAGGGGAGGGCATGTTGCTGAGCTCCTCTGTCCTGCAGGTACTAGACGAATTCTCCAAGCAGGTCGACAGGATAGACTGGCCAGTTGGATCCCCCGATACCATCCAGTACACAGGCCTGGACGGTCACCTCAGTAGATACCAGGTAGGGTATAAAGACTGTGTGCCAAAACTGCGTGAAACACAAGAGCCGGCAGCCCTGGTGGCTGTGGCTCTGGGTGATGTGGATGTTGATGTCCTTTTGAAAAACGCAGGGACCCACATTAAGACCTGGAACCCAAGCTCCTAGGCAGGCTTTTGCTTCTCTATCATTTGGTTAAAAAGCCTGTGGTTTTTAACTTCTGAAAGTGTGTCCAGCTCACTTGGTTTTGAGCCCCGTTTTCCAGGTGGCCACTCCAGTCCTGACGTGGTTTTTATTTTTGGTTCTTTCCTAGAACCCCCGAGAAGCTGACCCCATGACTAAAGTGCAGGCTGAACTAGATGAGACCAAAATCATCCTGGTAAGTAAGTAAGTAGGAGAGCAAGTCCCCAAACTGAGGGGCAGAAAGATTTGCCGGTAGTCAAGCCCGCGCAGCCAACACTTGCTTTAGTTGTAGTCGAAGCACTTTTCTGAAAGTGGTGTTTGCCCACCTGTCCCCGTGCATCAGAGGCCTCAAAGCCAGACTCACTCAGACAACCCTAGCAGGATCCCTCCTGCGCCCCGTCTTGGTTAACGGCACCTGTTGTTTGAGGGACCCAGCATATTCCCGTCCCCACTCCCTGTCTGGGTAGTTACTGGGTTCGGGGGAATCTGAGTTCTGTGGTCCTGCCTCTGCAGTGCCTGTCTTAGCTTAACCCACTGCCCAGCAGGTGCCTCCCTTTCAGGGTCTGGGTCTCGGCGCAGACTGAGGCTCACCCGCTCTGACTAAATACAGGCCCAGCATTGTCAGAATCAGGCCTGTTTTAGAAGAGCGGGAACCCTGCATTTTTAGCTGAAATCTCCTGGTTTGTAATGGCTGCTTCAACATTTTTTTAAAACTCTGAGCTACCTTTGGCCCTCGATCAGCACTGGCTTTGATTCTTGGGGCCTCTGCCTCTGGTCCCCTGGCTTCCTGCCTCCCTGCAGTCTGTCCACTACACAGTAGCTGTTGATCTGTCACTCTTCTGCCTGAAGTCCTTGAGCAGCTCCCAAGTCAGCTCCAGGATAAAGTGCAGGCTCCCTGACGTGGTCTCGCACCCCGGGCCCTCCCTCCCTTTCCTGCCTGACTCCTGCACGGGCGCCCCGCACTCAGGCCACCAGGGTACTCGGAGGCGATACAGGCCCTTTCTGAATGTCGCTGCATTGTCACTGCACGTTTACGTGAAGCCTGACCCGTGTGTGAGCTCCCAGGACTGGGAGCTTATCCTGAGCTTTACGCCCCTGCTCACAGAACAATGCCCGGCTTAGGCTTAGGGCGAGGGCTTAGCCAGCGCCCAGCAAGTAATGGACGCCTAAGTAGATGGATATAAAACCCAGGAAAGGGGACTGCCCTGGCCGTCCAGTGGTTAGGGCTCCGCACTTCCACTGCGGGGGTCACAGGTTTGATCCCTGGTCAGGAAACTAAGATCCCGCAAGCTGTGCAGCACAGCCCCCCGAAAATTAAAATAAAACCCAGAAAAGGTGCCCAGACAAATCCTACCCCAAATATAAAACTCCTATCAACGCTGGCTCAGCTTTCATGCACATCTGCATCTCCTGGGGTTGGACTCAGGTCTGGGGCAGGACCCAGCAGGCTGTGTTCTATAAAGAGCATCCCAGGGGCTCCAAGCCTAGGTCTTCTAAACCATGCTTTGGATAATGTTTGGGGGCTTTGGAATGAAAGTTAGATGTGACAGTTTTGGGGCACTTCTCTGTCTTTTGTGCCATGTTTCTCCACGTTTCCTAACCGAGCCCTGTCTCTGCCTTCTGCTGCTTCAGAACCTGTGCATGTGAGCACCACAGAGCCAGGGGACACATGCTCTCTGTCTTTCTTTCTCTCTCCACTGCACAGAGCAGATGGGTCCTGGACACCCAGCCCATTCTGGCTGCAGTGATAAAATCTGGATTACTGGTTATGCCACCTTTTATCCCATTCGTGTCTTGAGCCAGTTAACTTCTTATGGTGGAAATCTGAGTTGCTCAGCTGTGTGTAGAAATAAAGGACATTTTTGCTCACTCCTCATTCTGTGCTGTTTCACATGTGCAAAGCTAGGTTTGTGCCACTTGCTCTGAAGAGGCCTCTGAGGGCCTTGCGGCTGCCCTAGCAATAGCCGTCTGGGGTGGGAGTGAGTAGGCCACTTCCTGATGGTCCTGGCAGTGGGGCTGGGGGCTCTTCTGAGGGCCTCCATCCCTTCACCCGTTCAGAAAGGGTCTGTCTGCACTGCCTAAGTGCAGAAGTGCTCTCGCAGAATTGACAGTAATGCGATTTAGACACAGTTCCCCTGGGGGAACAGGAAGCATTCTGTGCAGTAGGAATGTGTGTGTATAAATACAGACATAGGTGATCCCTCCTGGAGTGTGGCTGGCTGAGCCTGTGCTGTGGAGGATTTGGGGGAAGTGCTTTATGTCCCAGTTAGAACCTTCTAGATTCTCCAGGAAGGTCACTAGGTCCTGTTTCCTCTACAGGTCTGGGACACTGTGTCTTGATGCAGTGTCCCAGATATGGGGGAGGGGCCCAAAGGAAGTGCTTTCCTGTGACTGAGCTTCACGCGGGGGCTGGCGTCTACTTACTTTGTGAACAGAGCAAAGTGTTCTTTTCTGTTTTTCTTCTTGTCCAGCACAACACCATGGAGTCTTTGTTAGAGCGAGGCGAGAAGCTAGATGACCTGGTGTCCAAATCCGAAGTGCTGGGAATACAGTCTAAAGCCTTCTATAAAACGGTGAGGGCGGCCTGGCTCCCGAGCACCCCTTCCTGAGAGCAGTGGCCGCGTGCTCACCACTAAACAAGTCTTCCTTGGAAAGTTCAGTAACGTGGCCGGTCAGTAGCGGCAGGTTCGCTGGGGTGCTGTGGGAGCCTAGGTGAGCTGGGGCCTTGCCACGCCCTTCCTCTGGGCTCCGTGCCCCCCCGCCCCCAGGCCGGAAGGGTGGTCCCCGCATCCCTGCTGCCTGCTGAGGAGCAGCAGTGCACCGCCTTCCAGAGAGTTCCTTATGTTCCTAGTTAGCTTCCCTTTAGCTGAAGGATTTCAGTTTGAACAGCGGGGCGCTGCGTTTACTTGGTCCATCCACACACACGTTTGCTCTCACGTGTGCCTTGGAGGGCGATGCCAGTGGGTCAAGGGGGCATCTGCGGACAGGAGGTGAGAGGGAAGGTAACGGAGGCCCCACAAACCAAGTGTGAACCTCTCCGTTCTCTGAGGACATCCTCAGTAAAAAACACCCCTGTGGGTTAAGACAGCTTTACGGGGGGACAGGGCCGGAGCAGAGGAAGAGACTCAGCCAACCCGACTTAACGTTCCTGTTCTTTGTACTTGGCTTAACAACAGGAAGTTTACTTCCTTACTGATAGCGTTAACGGAAAGCGGACAAAATAACTTCAGGGGTATGAACTGCTCCTGGACAGCTTCGCTCCAGGCATCGCGGACGGGCCGGTTCTCTCTCTCTCTCCTTGCGATTCCCGGAGCCCCCGGTAAAGCCGCCCAACCCCCGCGGAGCCCCCAGTGCTACGTGTGCCAAGGTCCACCTCTTCAGCTCTTCTTTGTCTCTTTCCAGGCCCGGAAGCAAAACTCATGCTGTGCGATCATGTGACAGCAGCCGGCAGAGGCCCCTGCGCTGGAACGCCACCGTCACTCACATCGGAACTGCAGCCCCCAGGGAGCAGACCCACCGTGGAACAACCCGAGTGGGACAGACTCAACTTTGGCTTTGGAGCTCGTGGGAGGAACCGAAGGGTGGAAGGGACCTGGGGGTGGGGAATGTTCAGATTCACATGTCTAGTAATTTGAGGCCCCCTAAACGTGTATTTTGGGGCCGAATGAAACCATAAAGCTCAGTGACTCCTGTAGATGCTGCAGGGCTCGTTTCTAACCCCCTGGGAAGGACGTTTGCAAGGCCCACGGGGCGGTCAGAGCCGGCTCTTTGTTGATCTTCAGTACACCTTTGGGTTTTATCTGTACGCTAGCTGTGTTAACAGTCCGGTGAGTGGGGTGCCCTGACTACAGGGCTGGGGCGGGACAGACAGCCACTGCGGGCGCAGTGGGCGTGGGGGGCGCCGATGGGGGCTCGGGCCAGCGTGTCCATGTCGGGAGGAGACAGCCACTGGGCTTCACAAGTTCTGAGACCTTGTTTGCGCTGCTGCTGAGATTGACTTTCTGTAGTGCCCGTCCAGCGAGTTCCACAGAGATGCCTTGGAAGTTCGGGAGGGGCGTCTGCCCGGGCTTGTGGTCTGGCTTTGAACATCTGGATCATAGCAGGGTGTGCTGTAGGTGAACAGGTTTCACTTGTCTTTCTGGTGACAAGACTGTCCTGACAATCACCTGGGACTTAACACACATCTTAGCAAGTGACCTTTACTGTGGCCACCACTACCAGGCACCAAGAGAAGGTGCCAGCCAGCCCGGGGACTCCCAGCACCCCACTTACGGTCTGAGCCTTCCACACTCCAGCCCAGCCCCCTGCAGAAGCACTGCTGAGCCCGCATCCTCCCCCACCACCCCAGCCGCCCCCAGCAGCACGAGGCCCACGGCTCTGAGGCCCAACCCTGCGAAGAGACACGCAGAGCAGCCCAGGCAGTGGCCCTGGGGGCTCTGGGCCCTTCTCAGCCTCTCTGGTCCCTCGGGCCCTACTGCCATATTCCAGACTGCCTCCTGGGGCCCTGCTGTGCTTCTTGAGGACACAAGCTCAGGATGCCCCTGCGGGACTCAGTCTCTGTGGAAGCCCCTGCTGGGGTGGTGTCAACCAGTGTGGTCTTGTCCCCGGGTGTCCATCCCTGCGCACTCTGTTCTTGCCCTAACTGGGAGGTCCCACGCCCTGACAGGAAGTGCCAGCGGCCACGAGTTCCCTTGCTTGGACCAGGTGGGATCCGCGTGGCTTCCGAGGACCCCACCCGAAGAGATTTACCTGCCAGCTGCCCTTTTTCTCTAAGAGCAGCCTGCCCGTGTGAGTCCTACTGCTGCGGACGCCCCTGAAGGCGCAGACCCAGCCTGCTCACTGGTGCCTGAGGTGGCCGTGACCTCCCCTTAGGAACGATTGAGCTTTCACGGACTCTCCCACTTCGGAGGGTACTGGGGAGGAACTGGGGGTGGGGCTGGCCGAGACCCCGCATCCGGCATTTCCCCAGCTCCTCTTGGATTCTAACGTTAAATCGTTTGGCAAAGTGTGTTTTAATAACTGCCGCCTAACTTTTTCTCTCTGTGTTCTGTTTGAAAGGTTCCTATCTGGATAAAGTTGACTTTTGAAATTCCAAAATAGTCCTGTGCTTTGTTGGAGCCCCAGGGACCCCTTTCTGCGGGAGCCCTGCCCCTCCGTGCTGTGCGCCTGCAGAGCGTGGGGTCCCCCGCCTCCTGGGGCAGTTCCTGTGGGGGGAGACAGCATCTCCCTTAACCCCCCACCCCCTGCTCCCCTCCCCGCCAGGCCCAAGCGGTCATCTCCCCTCAGACTTTTCTAGCAGGAAGTGGGTGACGGAGCAGCAGAGCAGAGAGAAGCCCTGCTCTGAACCCTGTGACCTGGCCCTCACTATGTCTGGGAGGCTGCCACACAGCCACAGGGCCGGGGCCACGCAGATGGGAACCCCTCCAGCGTGCGCTGTCTTTGCTGGGGTGTGGGAGCTCCCTGTGCTCCCCGCATCCTTGCAGGCCTGGGACTCTCGTCCTCGTTTAGGGAACGTCCTCGGCAGCTGGTCATCAGACGGTCTGCAAACACTTCTCAGTCTGTTTCATTGCTGGCCTGGGGCCTGTTTTCAGCCTTCTGACCATCGCAATAGGGAGCAGCGTGGGCACTCCCGGCTTTTCCTGCTCGGAGGACCCGCCAGGGCTCGGGTTTTACCTGTGGTGCAGGGAGCTATGTCCAAAGCACGTGCTTTTTAAAATGACAAGTGAAAGGCCCTCTCATTGACCTCCCTCTGCCGTCCTGCCGGCCCTGCTCTGGGTTTTGGAGTCCTGGCACAGCTCAGGGTTCAGAATCCGCAGTCGGGGGGATGGGGGGTATTTTGTGGTCCAGCTCCATAACAAAAATTGTATTAGCAAAGTAACTTTCTCTTCTCTCAGCTCATCTCTGTGTGTGAAATCCTGCCTTTGTTGTTGTTAATAATTCTAAATACAGGAATTCATTAAATTCAGAATCACTAATGCAAAGAGCTCGATAAACTAGATGGAGCTGTGTGAGGGCCGGCCTTCAACTTGCTGTCATGGCGGGGGGGGGGGGGGGGAGGCCGTGGCGGGTGCCCAGAGGGAGGCCTGGCCTGGAAAGCCTCCTCGGATTACAGCTGATAGGTGAGTGGAGCCCTAGATACTGCGGTGGCGGGGACAGACTCCACTCACGGGCTCTGTCCTAGATTCTCTGTGCCCTGCTCTCGGATCCTCGGAGGTGCTCCCCGTGCAGCCCTCCCTCCTGCCTGCACACCTGAGATCCCCTGCCAGGTATCGGCCACGGGGCCGACAAGCTGGCATCGAGGGCCTCCTGGCCCATCTGAAGGTGCCTGCAACCAGATGCCGAGGCTGGAGGAGGAGGAGGCCTGTTCTGTCCCAGTGGACAGGACTGAGCTGGCCTGAAGAGGCAGCCATCTCATCAGAAGTCACTTGGACCCCCCTGGGTGGGCGCGTTCGGTGTATCAGGTTGTTTTGAAGCCTGTATTTCTGTGCTGAGTAAGCTCGAGGCATAAGGTGCAGACAGGCAGCAGGGCCTGGGGACCAGGCGTAGAGGTGAGGCTGCCCATCTCCACAGGAGGGTGCCTCTGGGGTACCAGCAGGGCTGCCCAGTGTCTGCCTGGGAGTGAGGTGGGCCAAGAGGTCTGTGGGAGGGACAGCAGAGCACAGGCAGGCCCCAGAAGCCCTCGCCCGGCGGGGCCTAAGTGTGTGCGGCCACGAGGGCAGATGTCCGGAGGGCCAGGCGACCATGCATCCATGTGTCCATGCAGCGGTGTGGTCATGCGGCCACGTGGTCAGACAGCCGCGGGGCCGGGCTGCCATGCGGCTCTGTGGTCAGGTGATCACACAGTCCAGGCAGCCACGTGGCCAGCGCTCACTCAGCCACACAGGCCGAGGGTGAGTGTTCCCGAGGGAGGCCCAGCAGGCTTTTGTGTCCCCTGCTGTAGGGGTGCCATGGGCAGCCAGGTGACATGTCCCTCCGTGCTGGGGCTGAGCTACAGAGGGAAGGTCTGGTGGGGACCGCCTGGCTGTGCCGACCTTGGGCCCTCGCTCCCTCCCTCCCTCCCTCCCCTCAGTCTGGGACCATCTGGGAGCCTCCGTACCTGGCATCCCTCTGTCCCCCTAGTCTCTGCTCTGGGCTCTTGCTGTTCGGGCCTCCTTGCAGAGCCTCTCCAGGCCCCCGTTGTCATCGCCCGCTCTGTCCTCCGCATCTCAGCAGCCACTGCTCTTCTGCTCCTGACATCGGTGTCTGACATCCACGCTGGCCTGTGTGCCACCTACATGCCGTCTACACAACTCAGCATGAGGGCCCACAGGAGCAGCGGGGGCTGGCCTTGGGCACCGCGTGTTCCAATCAACGTGCACGAAGAACGGATGGGTGGAGGGAGAGATCGGACAGGGCAGCAGGCCTTGGTCCTGCGGCTCTTCCCACATAGATCCGCTCTCCCAGCCTCATCTTCAGAGGCCACTAGGGTGACGGGAGAGGTTGGGGGCGTGGGGACTCAGGGAAACCAGAGGTTGGGGTGGGGATAGCTGGCAGAGCTTGATCTGCAGTGGCGCGGAGGGGCCCCACCTGGGCGTGCCGTCCACGGAGACGGGCTCGGGAACGTCTGGCCTAGGGTTTCTGCAGCCTGGCCAGCCCGGGGCCCACACAGTGGAGAAGGGACCTGCCATGAGGTGAGGGGTCGGCAGGGTCCCGGCATAGAGCACGCGGATGCACTTGAAGCAGTTTGTCCTGTTTTCCTTTTATTTGCGGTTTCCCGAGACAGAACAAAATAATAATTTTGTACACTTACAAGGCTCAGAAAGAAAAGACAATGAAACTCAGCAAAAAGAGAGAAGAGGAAAGGCCGGCCAGCACCGCAGGCAGCCGACCCTCTGCAGGGCGGGCTGGCCGACGCTGCCACACCGCGGACATCTAGCTAGAAGAGCGGGTGTGGCTTGCTCATGAGGGGTCATGCAAAAGAACTATCCCCCAGAAAAAAAAACCCAAATTATCCCAGACAGGCAGCTCCGTGGAGAGAAGGGGTAGAGGAGGGGAGGAGGCCCCAGGAGGCGAGGTTGGCCGGGCCACACGCTGTCCGCGGCGGGCCCTGCCGCTGCCCGAGGCCCAGGGAGCCTGACAGATGTTTACCCCGCGTCCATGGGTGGGGACAGCTGTCCTGAGCACAGCCGCAGATGGGCAGGTGAGCGTCCACTCTGAGTGTCCGTCGATGGACAGTCCCCTTGGAGACCAGCATCCTGTGTCCTGTTCCCCACTCCGGGCCCCTCCCTTGGCTTGATTGCGGGGGAAGATAAAGAAAATCCGTGTTGAAAACAACATGAGTTGAAGAGGGCAGGTACTGGGGCAGGGGGTCCTGCACCTCTGCGATCACGGCCCCTGCACCCCCCAACCACGGCCCAGCGGGCCAGCTCAGACCCACTCGCACACCCAGACGACAGCCCTTGGCTCTCTGCCAACCCCTGACCACGTGGCCCATCCCGGAGGCTCGCCACAGTGCCCGCCAGCACACAGGGGGACCCCAGGTGAGCCCAGCCCGCCTTCTCCCAACCCCGGGGGTCCCTGTCACACTCAGCCCCGTGCGGCCCTCCGCTCCCTGCTGCCCTGGGCCCAGACTCCGAAAGCGCAGCTTCCTTCAGCAAACACCTGCCTGGACTCTGCCCCAGCCTGGGAGCCGAAGGCACCCACCCGCCTCTGATCCCTCTCTCCTTCCTGCTCCACACCCACACGAGGGGAGGGGGGAGGGGGCAAAGAGGGAGAGGTGCCTGAACAGAAGGGAGGCCAGCCCCGGGGTCCCCTGCACACTGGGCCACAGCCAGCAGCGTCCTCTCGGCATGTCTCTTGCCAGGTGTGAGGTCTGAAAGTAAGGGGTGACCCCCCTGCCCGACCCAGTGCACCTCCCTGGCCCCCACAGGGCCAGAGCTGGAGCCCTGGGCCCGCCGGGCCTTCTCCGAGGGCTCTGCATCCTCCCAGAGGGGCTGGCCCAGCCTCTGCACTGCTCACCCATGCCAGGGACACCGGGAGCTCGCACCTGCGCCTCCCCAGGGAGGACAGGAGGGAAGGGAAGCAGGAGGGAGGACAGCCATGCTCAGCCCCCCCAGCCCCTCCCCAGACGACACCTGACACTCCTGACAAGGAGCCATGCACGGCAGGGAGGATGCAGACGCGTGGGGGTGGGCGCCACCTAGCAAACACCGTTCCTTGGGTGGCAGGCCCCTGCGGACAAGTTCACTGCCCCGGCCGGTCCCTGGAGGAGGCCAGGAGCAGACGGACACGCAGAGCTTAGGCGGGGAGCGGCCAGAAGGTTCGAAGCCCCACAAACGCCAGGGCTTTTTACAGCTTTTTCCCTTGTTTCGTTTTTTTTCCGTTTCATCCGACATCAATTTTGTGTGTGCGGTTGTCGTCTTGTTTTTAAAAAGAAATCACATCTGGTCTTGGTTTTCTGCAGACACAGGCACCAGGGGAGGAACGAGGCAGACACAAACATGCGACAGGCAGGCCGTGCGCCCGAGGGCAGCTGGGCTCCAAACACCGAGTCTGTCCCGTGAAACCAGCCGCAGCAGCTCTGAAACGGGGCGGACCGAGGGCGGGCAGGTCAGCGTCGGGCGGCCGCTCTCCATCTGACACGGGTTTGGTGTCTGCAAGGTGGGCGTCTGCGGGGCCGCCCGGCGAGGAGCCTGGAGGCCCTGACCCGGCACCCCTGCCCCCCTAACACCACGCTGGCCTCCCCACAGCTCTCCACAGCCCCGCCCGGGCGGCGCTCCCCTCCCCCGAGGGCGCTCACCTTCACTGCAGCGGGGCCACGGGCGCCCCCGAGCAGTGGAAATGCACGTTCTGCCACTTGCCGTCTCGGCGGTGCCACACGCGGGTCTCCTCGGACTGGCTGGTGCGGGGCCGGCCCTGCCCGTCGATGTATTGCGTGAGGCGGATGTAAGCAATGCACGCGGCGTCCTCGCCGATGACGTGCACGTGCGGGTTCAGGATCGTCGTGTGGATCGGCTTGCTGTTCTTGGCGAGCACTGTGGGCGGGCAGGGGCTTGGCACCGCTCCGCTGGCCCAGCCCCCTACGAGTGCCAGCCCGGCCACCCCTCCCCCTCCCGGTGGGACGAGGACGGGACAGGGCTTCCCTGGGCGCCTGGCTGGGGGCCCATGGGCTCCCCGGGGGTGCCGCCCTCTTCCTGCCGCGGCCCACACTCACAGTTCTCGAAGTAGAATCTGTGGAAGTCCATCCCTTCAACCAGGTTGCCCAGGGCTTCGGGCTCAAACGAGGTCAGGCCTGGGTCGCAGATTTTCCTGGGGGGCAGACCCAGGTGAGGAGTGGCCCCTCAGAACCCGCCCCTTCCGTCCACCCCCTCCCACCCCACAGCCCCAGGATGGTCCCAGGAGCCCTGACTCACGCATAGGCCTCAAAGTCACCGTTGTTGACGGCCTCGATGAGCTGCTCCGTGATCTTGATGATCTCCTGCTTCCGCGCTGTGGGGGACAGCCGCCCAGTGACCCGTGAGCCACCCCCCTGCAGCCCCGGGGGGGGGTCCCGCGCAGAGCGCCCCCCGTCCCCGCCCCCTCCCCCTCCAGGAGGGACCCCGAGGCTACCCGGCTCAGACTGCTCCCGTCAGGGCCACCAACGGGGTCCCCATTTCCAAGTCCAACAAGCCTCGGTCTTATTTGTCTTAAATACAACATCCCTGAAAGACGGAAATACTCCATCCAGAGTACAAAAGGTCTGGAAGAGGCAGGAAGGGGAAGCCAAGCCTGCCATGCCCCAGTCCTTCCGGCTGTATCCCCTGGACCCTCGGCAGCTGCAACACTGACCAGCCTTCCCAGCTCCTGCCTGGCCCGCCACCGTGGACATTGCTCTCATAGTTCTTCTTGGGGAAGCAGCTGTCTACTAAGGGTGGGCTCACAAAGCAGGCAGGGGATTGAAGACTGCAGGGCCAGGCCTCAGCGCAAAGGCCAGGGAGCCGGGCCCAGGGGAAGGCAGAGTGCGGGCCTCGCTGCCTTCTCTCCCTGGAAGGCCGCAGGCTGCTGCCTGGCCTTCCACCTCTTCCAGCCTCCACCTGTTGGCGGTCCTGGGCCCCCAGGCCAGTCCTCTGGCATCACCTTTCCATCCTGCACCCTCCACCTGAGGCCCTGGGCCGGCAGCCTTCTCCGGGTTCCTGCCCACTTGACCTCTGGTCCTAGACAGACCCAGTCCCCCGGGTGCTCGCCTAAGGGCTCCTTTATCTCTTTAACTACCATTTATTTTCAGGAAAAACATTTTAAACACATGGAAGAAGCAGAAAGAATAATATAGCCCACAGCCTGCTGATTCAAATCTGAACCATTTTCATATTTGCTTTAGATTTCTTTTCAAGAAATAAAACCTTCCAGATAAAGACGCAGATGCCTGTGTGCCCCTGAATCTTGTTCTTCGCTCACTCTCCCCAGAGAAGTACCGTCCTGAGGTGCTTAACCACTTCTGTGCAGATACAGAAACACCCAAAGGCACACGGGAAACACACACGAGTGTGCACACAGGCACAGACGCACCCACACGTGGTGATCTCTTAAAGCAGTGATAACGTGCCAGTGATAAAACTCACACCCAAAAGGGCCACCGAGAGCACGACCCCAGGAGCTCTGTCCCACAGTTCCCTCCCCAGTCACGGCCACACCAGCTGCGCATGTCTGCGCACTCCCAGCACGGGTATTCGTGTCCCCCCTGCTCCCAGCAGCACATCGGGACCACAGACTCTCTGCACGGCCACTCCTATGGGATGGGCATCCCCACTCAACCAGGCCTAGTGATGGGCATCTGTAGGTCTCCAGTCTTCAGCTGGCAGAGCAGCCGGGACCAGGACACATGTGAGTTGATCTGCAGGCTACACTCCCAGAGCGCGGGTTGCCAGCTCCAAAAAGGCACAGTTAGCATTTTGAAGCATGTGCCCACGGCCGTCCCATCAGCACCTTCGGCTGTCCGGGCGCTCACTTTCCCAGGCACCCAGCTAGGAAGCGGACAGGGTCCATGGTAGAAGACGCTGCCTGTTGCGTGCGAGCCCAGGCGTGCCCGTGTCTGAGCTGGGAGCCTGGGTCGTGTCGCACCGGCTCTGGACAGTGGCTGTGGGGTGAGCTCCATGACACCCAAGGGTGTCATGGTTGAGTGCATGCATGAGCATATGTGTGTGTGTGTGTGTGTGCACCTTCGTGCACATGTGCGCAGGTGAGAGAGTGGGCACGTGGGCGTGCGTGTGTGTGTTTGTAGTGTGTGTGTGTGTGTGCACACCAACCCGCAAGCATGCGTGGGCTTCCGCTATATAAAAGAGACGCTCTCTCTGGACCTGGCGGCACTTCTGCCGCCGAACTCCGTGTCTGGACTATAGCAGGGCTTGGGCTTAAGGCTGTCTCTGCAGAACCCGAGCCCCACCTTGTCTGGTCAGCCCTGGAAGCTGGCCTCCAGGAGGCGGGCTGTGGGCCCAGCTGCCCTGATGCCCCACGTCCACCTGCAGAGCTCTGTCCCAACACAGACACGTGCAGGCAGGCCTCTGTCCTCACCCCCTGGATATTTCACACCTCCACCCACACACTGCCCCCTCCCTTGCCCATCCCATCACTCTTCGTCTCCCCTCTCAGGGCTTCCCCCACAGCCTGCCCACCTCTCCACCTTCTGCCTGGGCGTTTCCCAATTCTGGGCAACCCCCTCTCCTCTGGGACCTCATCCACCCCCATCCCCAGTTCACCTGTCACCTCTGTGGAGGTGGCCTCGAGCTTCAGGCTCTGATCTCCCCCCAGTGCAGCCTAGCTCCCCCACCAGACCCCGCCCAGAGGGCCGGGCCTGGGCTTGTCCGAGGGCAACACCCAACCCCTGCCACTTCCGTCCCTGCCCAGGGCAGCCCGTCACCCGGGACCTCACCGCCTCCCGCCTGTAGCACCAGGTCCAGCCCCTGGTCAGGAGCCCCCACCTCCCACCTGCGATTTACTCTGTCAGCTCCAGGCCATCTGCTGATCTCGCCAAGGGGATGTCTACACACCCCGACACCCCGACACTTGTCAACCCTCCTTCACAAACGTCGTGAGCCGCCCCCGCCCCACATGAGCCCTTAGCCAACAGCCTTGCAGCTGGAATTGAGTGACTCTTTTTCTGTTTTGTTTCCCGTGCACTCTGATTTTACAGTCACCCTACTGCACTGTGGTGAGCCGATGAATCTTCCACTTAATGAAGTAATATTGAGCGTTTTTAAACAGAGCGTAATTAAAAATGGAGTCAGTGTAAAGAGAAAGAATTAAGTAAATAGAAACCTAGGGTCGCAGCACACATTGCAAAGTCTGAAGTTTAGGAAACGGCCAGCACGTCCATTCTGCAGATGGGAAAGCTGAGGCCACACGAGCCCAGTCACAGCCCAGGAGTGGGCTGGACGCTCCCGACCCTCGGAGGGGCTGCCGCCCACGTCTAACCCCACGCTGTGGAGCAATCCTTCCTCCCCCAGTGGCATGCTGCGTGAAGGGACTCCTGGGGGCAGGGGTGAGGCTTGTTATTAAGGACAAGCCTCCCCCACCAGACAACTCTGGGGATGGAGCTGAGGTCTGGCTTGAAGTGCAGCCCCCATGTCCCCTCCTGCTCTCTTGGGGTGAGCTAACAGGCCAGGGAGGCCCGGCCACCGGCAAAGGGTCCGGGGGGACCCCAGTGACCCCAGGTTGACCCCAAGCCCTGTCCCTCGGCAGCTGCAGGGGCACCAGGATGCCCCCAGCCACCCCAGGGAGGCAGCTGCACAGGATCAGCCTGGATTGTGCGTAATCCCTGATCATGGAGAACACGGCCCCGGCCGGTGGGCACCGACCCCATTTACACACTGAGACAGCTGGCGGGGATGTTCCCGGGAAAGGAGGGTACCCACAACCCAGCCCAGGGATGGCCCTCTGCAGCCCAGGCCTCGGTGCCGTGAGGGGCCAAACCCTGGTCCCAGAGCTAGAGAGGGGGCACCCCGGCTCTGGCACTCACCCACTCAGCCCACTGAGCGCCATATCTCACCCCACAACGGCCCCTCAGAAGTCCCTTCTCCGGGCCGGCCCCACCCACGTTCCTTTACCCGAGGACCCTCACACAGGCCTATGGAACTGGGATGCTGGGAACTCCGGGTGAGAGGAGGGTGCACATCCAGGCACGAGGACCCCTCTCCCTAAGGGAGACTGATGGGGGGCCCCCCCGCCCTCGGTGCCCCCCAGGGCTTTGCATCCTCCCCTCCGCTGCACCCTGCAGGCCCGGCCACCCCCTCCATTCAGCGCTGGTCACAGCACCTTCCCGGAAACAAGCTCAGGACAGACCCCTAAAGGGGCAAGCCAGTGCTGTGGGCCCCCCGGGTCAGCCTGGGGTGCTCAGCACCCGTGGCATGCCCTGTCCTCAGAGGTCCCCACCTGGCCTGCGCGCGTTCCTAGGGTGGGTCGCAGCCCTGGGCCGAGGTCACGCTGCAGGTGGCCCCCTTGGGCACAACCCTCCGCATCTCTTCCCCTCATCGTTCTCATCTGTGAAAGGAGGGGCCGCAAGGATCCCAGAGATGGGGACGTGGTGGCCTCTAAACTCGGATAAGACGCCACACAAATGGGGAAGGGGATCGGCGCCCTCCCACAGGCTCCGCTGCGTGCCCGCCTGCAAGACCCTGGTCCCTCACCTCGGACACTTGCCTCCACTCCCCTCAGCCAAGCCCGGATTCAGGCCACAGTATTCAGGCCTCCGTGCCTCCCCGACTGCTCCCAGGGCCTCCCTCCCCCTCTCCCTCCTCTCAGCCCGGCCCCTGGGGCTGGCCCGCAGCAGCTGGGCGGGGGTCAGCACCCTCCCGGCCCGGCACTCACCCAGCCTCTCCCCCGCCATGCCCGGCCCCCGGCCTCGCAGCCTCTCCTCTGAGAGCCCGGTGTCTCCCCGGAGGTGGGGATGGCTGCCGCCCTGGGGTGTCATCCATCCCTGTAAGCGATACTGGCGGGCGGGCGGCAGACGGGCTGCGGCGGCTCCTCCCTCCCTGGGGAGGTGGCCCAGCCCAGCGCCCGCCCGGCTGGGCCCCCACCCCTAGCATCACCAGCGGGGGCGTAACCCCAGGCACCACCCGGCCGGCACCCGTCCCATCCTTGCTGCGGAAGAAACCGGCAGACTGCAGACCCTGGGAGCGTGTGGCTCTAGATCACGGACACCTGCTTCCTGGGTCTCTTCCCACACGTGCATGTCTTTAGCCAAACGGCAGCTCCGCGTGGAATTTCCTACAACCCATGTCCCCCCACCCCCGAGCCGGCCCCTTCCCAGAGCCAGGGGGCGGTGCACCACAGCCAGGGGTCTCCACACCCCTGCGAGCCCCCAGGAGCAGCCAGCAGGGCCACTCAAGGTGCTACTTACACAGGGTGGGTGGGGAGCCTGGGAGAGCCGGAGGAGGGCAGGGTGGGGGGCCCTGGGCTTCTGGGGTCCCCGAACCCCTCCTCACCGTGTTCAGGATGTCAGAGATCCTGAGGGCTGGGGCGGAACAGACGAGATGTGAACACGAGAAACACGAGGCAGGCGGGAAACACACAGAAGACAAAACCTATGAGCTGATGAGCCAAAGCCAGAGAGAGTGGGGGGACGGGGGGTCGCGAGGGGACATGGGGGAC